GTGTGCGTGTGTGTGAGAGAGTGTGTGTGTGTGTGTGTGCGTGTGTGTGAGAGAGTGTGTGTGTGTGTGTGTGCGTGTGTGTGAGAGAGTGTGTGTGTGTGTGTGTGCGTGTGTGTGAGAGAGTGTGTGTGTGTGTGTGTGCGTGTGTGTGAGAGAGTGTGTGTGTGTGTGTGTGCGTGTGTGTGAGAGAGTGTGTGTGTGTGTGTGTGCGTGTGTGTGAGAGAGTGTGTGTGTGTGTGTGTGCGTGTGTGTGAGAGAGTGTGTGTGTGTGTGTGTGCGTGTGTGTGAGAGAGTGTGTGTGTGTGTGTGTGCGTGTGTGTGAGAGAGTGTGTGTGTGTGTGTGTGCGTGTGTGTGAGAGAGTGTGTGTGTGTGTGTGTGCGTGTGTGTGAGAGAGTGTGTGTGTGTGTGTGTGCGTGTGTGTGAGAGAGTGTGTGTGTGTGTGTGTGCGTGTGTGTGAGAGAGTGTGTGTGTGTGTGTGTGCGTGTGTGTGAGAGAGTGTGTGTGTGTGTGTGTGCGTGTGTGTGAGAGAGTGTGTGTGTGTGTGTGTGCGTGTGTGTGAGAGAGTGTGTGTGTGTGTGTGTGCGTGTGTGTGAGAGAGTGTGTGTGTGTGTGTGTGTGTGTGTCTGTGTGTGTGTGTGTGTGTGTGTGTCTGTGTGAGTGAGTGTGTGTCTGTGTTAGTGTGTGTGTGAGTATGTTTGGATCAGCAGCTCTTCTGATTGTGTGTATGTGTGTGTGTTTTAGCGTCCAGGGCTCGTCTAAGTATGATCAACACCATGTCTAAGATCCGGGGTCAGGAGAAGGGTCCGGGTTACCCTCAGGCTGAGACGGTGCTGGGGGACGCCATGCAGAGGTTCGGCCGTGAGCTCGGAGAAGAGTCCTGCTTTGGTAACTTACACACACACACACACACAGTCAGAAGAGCTGCGGATCCAAACACACACACACACACACACACACACACACATATACACACAATCAGAAGAGCTGCTGATCCAAACACACTCACACACACACTAACACAGACACCAGGATATATAAACTAGTACACACACACACACACACACACACATTCACTCAGACTCACACTCACACAGGGGATACCCCTAATCTTTTTATTTAATATGAATTAATGTTAAATTAAATTGATCAAAAGTGCCACTAAAGACATTTATAACGTTACAAAAGATTTCTATTTAAAATAAATGCTGTTATTTTCAACTTTCTGTTCATCTGGGAATCATGAAATGTCTCAGTTTCCACAAAAATATTGTGCAGCACAACTGTTTCCAACATTGATAATAATCAGAAATGTTTCTTGAGCAGCAAATCAGCATATTAGAATGATTTCTGAAGATCATGTGACACTGAAGACTGGAGTAATGATGCTTTGATCACAGCAATGAATTACAGCTAAACACATATCAATACATTGAAAGCAACTATTTTAAGTTAAATTAATATTTCACAATTCTTGCTGTATTTCTGATTAAACGCAGCCTTGGTGAGCGGAAGAGTTGTGAAGCATTACCGTGTAACATGTACTTTTAGAAAATGATGTCAGAGTTGCAGATTTGTTGGTTTAGTGGAATTTAAAGCAGATTGAAAGTTGAAAAAATGGTATGAGTCTGCTGTTCATCTGTGTGTCTCAGGTCTGGCTCTGCTGGACGCCGGTGAATCCATGCGTGAGCTCGGCGAGGTGAAAGACGCTTTAGATATAACCGTCACACAGAACTTCATAGACCCGCTGCAGAACCTGCACGACAAAGATCTCCGAGAGATTCAGGTGAGTTTGACTGGTGCTGCTGTGAGAGAGCTGAACGCTGACAGACGGACAGATGTGTGTAAATGTGTGTGTTCCTCCCGCAGCATCATCTGAAGAAGATGGAAGGCCGCCGTCTGGACTTCGATTATAAGAAGAAGCGTCAGGGGAAAGTGACGGAAGACGAGCTCAAACAAGCGCTGGAGAAATTCGACGAGTCTAAGGAGATCGCGGAGCAGAGCATGTTTAACCTGCTGGAGAACGACGTACGGTGTTGTGCTAACTCGTACTCGTGCTAGTAATGCAGTGTCAAACAGAGCACATGTACAGTGCTGTATCCCACAATGCAAAGCTCAGGAATCTTTCAAATACATATTGTTTAAATCTTATCCGTCGCTCTGGAAATGGAAGTTGAGCCCATTGCATTGTGGGATACAGTATCTTCGTGTGCACTGCACATATGGCAAATGTAAGCCATATAAGAGTCAATTCTCATGTTGTACAGGGTATAAAATTCACATATTGTATACACTATACAGTTCAGAAACCAGTGTTATTTTAGTATCCTAGATTTACTGTTACAGTTTTTAATTAACATTGCAAGTTTTTAATTTGAACAAAAATTTATAAAAACAACAAACAAACAAAAATTACCAAAACATTTTTACTATTATAAAACAGTTTTAAAAATGTTGTATGTTTGTTGTTTTTGTTAGTTTTTTAATCTTTATGTAGTTTGTATTCATTTTTAATTCAGTTTGGGTTAGGTGTACTAGTTACTTTAGTACATCAAATTAAACTAAATATAAATGATAAATAGTTGAAAAATTCCGTCTAGTTTTTTAATATTTTAAGTTATTTTATTTAATGTAACAAATATTTTTTGTTTGTTTTATTTTTAGTTGATAATAACCTAGCAGAACTAGTGTGTACTGTTTATAATTTAAATAGTATGTGAAATTGTGTTACATCAGGGTTTGACAGACTGGGGTCTGTGAGTTTAAAAGCTAATAATTAAATCGTAATAATGTAATATTAAAATGAATAAATAATTTGAAAATAAAAAAATCTAAATAAAACACTTACTAAAAATGAACAAAATCATAATATGTCAAATTAAATAAATAAATAACATTAAAATAGAAACTCTCAAATAAAAAACTTGCTGCAAAATATGAAGTATTTGTCTCGAGTAGCTGACATCAGAGAACTGTCAGCATGCAAATGTGTCATTAAATTATGCTGACAAAAAAACATTTGTGAATCCCTTTGTTTCAGTATATAGTACATAAGCTTGTGTGTGTAGATCGAGCAGGTGAGTCAGCTGTCGGCTCTGGTTCAGGCTCAGGTGGAGTATCATCAGCAGGCGGCTGAGATCCTGCAGCAGCTCTCCAGCAAGATAGAAGACAGGTCAGACGCTCCAAACTCCCATCATGCACCTGGGGTCTTCACACGACACACACAGTACATCCACTGGGAGAGACATTAATTCACATTAAAACAACACTGCAGTTTATCAGATTTACCAGAAACGTGTTTCTAAACTAAAATAAAGTTGTCTTTACAGATATAATTACATGCCAATAAATATTGAAGTATTATTTTAAAATTTTACAATGGAGATTAATGAGATTCTATTCTTGAAAAATTATAAATATGTGCTGTTGATTAAAATATGTGTGTGTGTGTGTTACAGGATAAAGGACATGTCCAACAAACCCCGGAAGGAGTACATTCCCAAACCCCGCATGGAGCTTCAACTGCCCAGTGAGAATCACGATGGAGGAATAAACTCTGCAAAATCACCTGCACGCTCACCAGGTACAAACACACACTCACTCACACACACACACACATTTGGCATACACCTTGATGTCAAATAAAATAAATAAATGACATAAAGTTTAAATAAAGTAAAAATCAGCAAACACTGCGGAACAATTAAATAAAAAACAAATGTTTAAAAAAAACATCCAAAATCACCTTACAACAGCAGCTTAAACTTCAGCATTGACTAAACTATTTGACTATTGGTTAACATAACTAGCAAAAAATCAAATAATTTCAGAGGTGGAACAAAATTTTATTCAAATCTCAAATATTTTTTGCAAAGCTTTTCATCAGCTGAAGTGTAATGTTAAAACTACCAGTTATCTGGTGATGGGGTTCACAAACTATTTTGTTATACGAAAAATTTTGACCGAAATTTTATTTATTTTATTCTTGGTTTTTAATTTTTATTTATTTTATTCTTAGGGGTTTAAGTTTTTTTGTCATCTGAAACCATTTGACATAATATTAATTAATTAATGAATGTCATGCATGTAAACAACTTTTTTAAATAAGCATTTTATTTTAAATGTATTAAGTGTTTTGTTTTCATTTTTTTATTCAATTAATTATTAGCTTTCCATCAACTCATGAACCCTAGTTTGGGAATCCCTGATCTAGGTTATAAATAGGGTTGTGACGGTGAGGACATTTTCCCACCGGCTAATCGACGTGTGACAACACCAGTAATACCGTTATCACCGTGGAGGCGTTCCCTCTTTTCCTCGCTTTCCTTCACTTTTAAATAGCTTGTAAAAGCTGCATGAGCATTTTACTTTCACTTTCAAACAGCGGCAGTTCGGCGTAAAGCAATTGTTCGTTTTTAGTTCGTTTGAATTTCCCCTCTTTTCCTCGCTTTCCTTCGCTTTTCAATAGCTTAACAGCTTCGAATTAGCGGCAGTTTGGCGTCAATTGCTTGAATGCAACAACCAAATACAACGTCAAATTCACTTTAGCGTATATATAAAACATAGAACTTTTATTAACAAAACAAATAAAAATACACCATGCTATAGGGCAGGCTATGCCTAATATAAAATAACAAATAACTTAACATAAATAACAAAGTTTAAATAGGCATACAAAACTGGAAATAGGTAAACATGTATAATATATAACCAAATAAAAAAGAAACGTACAACGTTTATTAGCAAAATTAGTAAGAAAGCTTGGAGGCACGGCATACACCTTGATGTAAAAAATAAATAAATAAATGACACAAAGTTTAAATAAAGTAAAAATCAGCAAACACTGTGGAACCAATTAAATAAGAAATGAATGTTTAAAAAAACTTCCAAAAACACCTTAGATAAACGGCAAAAGTCAACAGGCTTTTCAAAATCCAAAATATTGCCAAAAAACAGGCGCTTTTGCGTCTCATTTCGAAACTAAATCATCCGCCATCGTCTT